GCAATTTTTTTTTCTTTCTTTCTCTCTCTTTTTTTTTTTTTTTTGAGACAGAGCCTTGCTCTGTAGTCCAGGCTAGAATGCTATGGTGTTAGCCTAGCTCACAGAAACCTCAAACTCCTGGTCTTGAATGATCCTCCTGCCTCAGCCTCCCAAGTAGCTGGGACTACAGGTGTGTGCCACCACACCTGTTAATTTCTTTTTTCTATTATTAATTGCCCAGCCAATTTCTTTCTGTTTTTAGTAGAGATGGGGTCTTGCTTTTGCTGAGACTGGTCTCGAACTCCTGACCTCAAGTGATCCTCTACCCTCGGCCTTCCAGAGTGCTAGGATTACAGGCATGAACCACGATGCCTGGTCTTGAGCAATTCTCTTATTCGAGTTCAAAATCAGTCATAAAGCAGTGGAGACAACTTGCAACATCAACAACACATTTGGCCCAGAAACTGCTAATGCACGTATGTGCAGTAGTGGTTAAAGAAGTTTTACAAAGGAGACGAGAGACTTGAAGATGAGGAGCACAGTGGCTGGCCATCCAAAGTTGACAACAACCAGTTGAAAGCAATCATTGAAGCTGATCTCTTCCAACTACATGAGAAGTTGCGGAAGAACTCAACGTCAACCATTATAAGGTCATTAGTCATTTGAAGCAAATTGGAAAGGTGGAAAAGCTCAATAAGTCGGTGCCTCATGAGCTGACTGAAAATCAAAAAAATCGTTGTTTTGAAGGGTCGTCTTCTCTTATTGTACACAACAAGGAACCATTTCTTGATTTGATGGTGACATGCAACAAAAAGTGGATTTTATATGACAACCAATGATGACCAGTTTAGTGGCTGGACTCAGAAGAAGCTCCAAAGCACTTCGCAAAGCCAAACTTGCACCAAAAAAAAGGTCATGGTTACTGTTTGGTGGTCCGCTGCTTGTCTGATCCACTAAAGCTTTCTGAATCCTGGAGAAACTATTATATCTGAGAAGGATGCTCAGCAAATCGATGAGATGCACTGAAAACAGCAACACCTGCAGCCGGCATTGGTCAATAGAAAGGGCCCAATTCTTCTCCACAACAATGCCTGACCACACGTTGCACAACCAGTGCTTCTAAAATGGAATGAATTGGGCTACAGAGTTTTGTCTCATCTGCCATATTCATCTGACATCTCACCAACTGACTACCACTTCTTCAAGCATCTCCACAACATTTTGCAGGGAAAACGCTTCCACAACCAGCAGGATACAGAAAATGCTTTTCAAGAGTTTGTCAAATCCCAAAGCACAGATTTTTACACTTACAGGAATAAGCAAACTTACTTCTTGTTGGCAAAAATGTATTGATTGTAATGGTTTCTGTTTTGATTAATAAAGATGTGTTTGAGCCTAGTTACAATGATTTAAAATTCACGGTCTGAACCTGCAATTACTTTTGCACCAACATAATAATAGGTTTTAGAATCTGCATGTGATAATCCCAATATCTAAGTCATTTCAGTGTTGCTGTCTGTTTCTTTCTTTTCTCTTGTGAGTTGAGATTTTCTTGGTTCTTCATGTGACAAGTAATTTTGGATGATATCCTAGACATTTTCAGTATTACTCTATGTGACTCTGGGTCCTGTTTATAAACCTATATTTTACAATTTTTTTTTTTTTTTACAACTGTAGCAGGCATTTGATCTAGTTAGATTGACTTTTTGGATTCTTTTCCCAGTCTAATGACCCGGAGGCTGATGTCTGCCTATTCTGTGTTTCTCCGGGGCCAAGTGTGGGGAGGATAAAGAGAAAAAAGCAACAGGAATGTCAGACCCCTCACTCTTTAGACCACACTTAGTCTGGTTATAAAGGAGGATCTCTTCAGAGTTTTAGGTGTCTCTTCAGCTGCTACTGCTGTCACTACTGCTGCCACGGATTGTGTCTTAGGGATTGTACTTGACTGGGGACTGGGCCAGGAGAGAAAACAAACATGCAAAAGAAACCAGGGAATTTCCCCTGCTCTTTCAGTCACATCTTCCACCACTACCCTCCCCCCTTTTGTTCCTTGGTCCAGAGAGGACCTTTCGTGGAGCTCTTTCTGTCCATCTTCTGGGAATCTGGATGTCTTTGAGTAGGAGCCCTGCATGGAGTGTAGGCTGGAAAACCTGACTGGGGAAGTGGGTGAGAAATCATATCACTGGATTAGTTATACTTTGAATTGTAGCTCCATCTGAACCAGAAACCTTCCTTAAAATGTTTTTAGGTGTTTAAAATTATGTCTCTACAACTATTACATACATATAACAATTTAAAATTTAAAATTTAAAAAATAAAATTATATCTCATTCATTTACCAAATTTTGATTAATTAATGTGATTAACTTACAGAATCATAAAATGAGTTAAAAGAATTATAAAATTCAAGGATTCAAAATTTCTTTTTGTAAGTCATGTAGGCTAAGTATTTACCTTTGGCAAATCCCTTCACCTTAAACAATGACATAACTAAGATTGAATAATACACTTGCCAGTATATTAAGCCCTTTGTCTACATTAACTCATTTAATTCTCACAAAATCCTATTAGGCTTTTAGCTCCATGATGAGAAAATTAAAGTTTAGAAAGCCTTCTCAAAATGTGATCCTTGGACCAGTCACATTGTCATTACTTTGGGAGCCTATGAGGAATGCAGAACCTTGGGTTTCAACAGAGACCTTTGGAATCATAATCTGCATTTGAACAAGATTCCCACAGGTGATTCATTTGCACTTTAACTTTTCCAAAGCACTGGTTTAAAGAAGTTATAAATAACTTGATGGAGGGCACCCAACTTGCAAGCTACCTTTAGGATCAGGAGAGTAAGCAGTTACCTTTAGTTGGAGAGTGCCCTGACATAGCCAGTTGTTGGACTTAAACTATACCATATGTAGCTTGAATTTCCTTTGTTCCTTGAAGGAATTAGGGCACAAATAAGCTATTTTGCTTCATACATTTTTCAAATAATATTTATGCTGTTTTGTGCATTCTTCAAATACTATTTATCCTTAGGGAAATACCTGTCTACATTGGAAAGGACTTAGAGGCTAATCAAAAATTCAGTGTATCATCTGGTATGTCAGGAGAGATGAAGAAGAAACATGGCAGTCTTTGAAATAACATTAAGCTAATTGAAATTTGGCATTCATTCACACTGCTTCCCTTAAATACAATCCCCACACAGGAGCCAAAGAGGCATTTTTTTTTTTATTGTTTATTTCATTTTATTTTACTTTTTGAGACAGGGTCTTGCTCTTGCGTGCAGGCTAGAATGCAGTGGTATCATCATAGCTCATGGCAACCTCAAGTTCCTGGACTCAAGTGTTCCTCTTGTCTCAGCCTCTGGAATACCTATGACTACAGGCACGCACCACCCACGCCTAGCTAATTTTTAAATTTTTTGTAGAGATAAGGTCTTGCTATGTTGCCCAGGCTGGTCTCAAACTCATGGCCTCAAGTAGTCTCCTGCCTTGGCCTCCCAGAGAACTGGGATTATAGGTGTGAGCCACTGAACCTGGCTCAAAGTAGCATTTTGAAGAATACATCAGATCATGTTGTATAGGTTTGCTTAACACCCTCTACCGGATTCCCCTTTGCACTTAAATTCAGACTCCTTATCACGGTTTAGATAACTGTTTCCCTTCCTGGCTTTGTCTCAAACTTCAGCTCCACTTCTTTCAATGTGCTTCCGCCATATTGACCTGTCATCTGTTTCTTGAGCATGACAAACTCTTTCCCATTCACTTTTGCGCAACCTCCTCCTTTTTGTTTGGATTAGTCTTCTCCCAGAAGCTTTGCAGTGGCTTTACATCAGATCTCAGGTCAAATGTTAACCTCCTTAGAGAGCCCGTCCCAAACCTACCACATTGAAAATACCCTTCCATAAACACATACCTTGTCATACTCCATCATTTGACATTCTTATAGAGTATTTCAGTACCAGATATTATTTACATGATCTGTTACTTTTCTCTGATACCGCTTCTCAGGATAACATAAAGGTCCCTGAGAACCAGGATCTTATATGTTTCCTATTATATACCCAAAGCCTAGGTTTTTGTGAACATCAAATTAGTTAAATTGATACAAACCTCTGAGAATGGGCCTGGCATATTGTATGCACTTGTCAACTGCTATTATTATTATTGTTACTGTAAGTAGTTGTAGTGATAGTATATTTAGGCATTAGTAGAAACTCAGTGGAATAATGCATTTTTAATAGATTCAGGATAATATCTAATTATAAAAACTGAGTACTATAAATAAACATTTCTATTTTTATAGGATTGGAAAGAAAACAATTGAAATAATAGTGCTTTAATTGGAAACTTTTTTCTTATGTTTTTCACTTAAGAATTTAAGCAGTTTGGGTCAGATCATCATAGTGTAGAGCTGTGGATCCTTGAAAACACATCCATCAGTTGGGCATAGTGGCTTACGCCATAATCCTAGTACTTTGAGAGGCCAGGGCAGCAGGATCCCTTGAGGCCAGGAGTTGGAGACCAGCCTGGGCAATAACAAGACCCCATTCCTAGAAAAAATTTAAAAATTAGCTGAGCAGGGTGGCATGCTCTTGTAGTCCCAGCTACTCAGGTGGCTGAGGCAGAAAGATTGCTTGAGCCCAGGAGTTTGAGGTTGCAATGAGCTCTGGTGACCAGTACACTCTAGCCCAGGCAGCACAGTGAGACCCTGTTTAAAAAAAAACAAAAATATCCATATCCATCCCCTAAAATTGTGAACCAGTAGGGATATGGGTTTGTTGTTGCTGTTGTTATTCAACTTTTCAGTTTAAAACCAGTTTTGTTGGAAATGACGGCTCGTAAAACTACCTTCCCCCTCCATCTTGACTTTCCACAATATCAGACAACATAGTATGCTCAGAATATATTCAGTATTGTATGCTTCTCTGTATGGCTTTTTTTATTGGTGCTGTCATTGAAATAAATTAATATTTGTATAGCATATCTATATATCTCTTTTGTCTCTGTTTGTGACCATAGGTAACAGTTAACCTCTTCCAGATGCAACACCTGCAGGCTGCCTCCCTTGCAAACAGTTTACAGTCTCTCTGTGATAGTGCCAAACTCTATGACCCAGGCCAAGAGTACAGTGAATTTGTCAAGGCCACAAATTCAGCTGAAGAAGAAAAAGTTGATGGGTGAGAATTAATATATAAATTAAGAGAGAAAAAAATTATTGCTAAGTTCCTGTCTAATGTAAGATGTCTTTTCTAATGTTGTCAAAATTAACTTTTAAATTTACTGAATATTTTTAATGTTATTTTATGGCTTCTAAGTAGATATATTTAAGGAATAGTTGTAATTCACTTGAATAGAGCTTTCCATTTTGACACATTCCTCAGTTCTTTGTGATCTACTAAAAATCCTTTGGGAATGGCAAATGATGGCCATACATATTTTAAATGTCCACAAAATATAACCTACATTTTCCATGAGGTTATACTAGAAAAGTTTAACCATGACATGAATTGTTGACTGCACTTTTGCTACTCCTTTCCATGTTTCCACTTTCATAAGTACAAATAACAGAAGTTTTATTTACGTCTCCTATAAGAATCTGAACCAGGTAATATGGCTTATTCTTAATGTTTGGTTTAATTACTCTATCTACATTAAGAGATTTCTGAGCATAAAAGAGACTGATTAGTCATTCTTCTGAGTGCTAAGTTTCATTTGTTTTTTGTTTGTTTGTTTGTTTGTTTTAGGAATGTAAATAAACAATTAATAAATAGTCCCCAAACTTCTGCATACAGACCTTCTGACTCTTTAGAAGATGTTGTGCGCCTTCCTGACAGTTCTAATAAAATTGAAGAGGACAGATGCTCTAACAGTGCAGATATAACAGGTAGTTTTCCACAGTAAAGAGAGTGCTAATTTGCAAAAGATCAGGTAGTTTATATGTGATTATGAAATAAGTTGGAACTCTGGACTTTAAAGATCAGGCCTTACGTTGTATGGCCTATGAGATCCTCTTCACAGTAACTACTGTGATTGTCTTAAAATTGATAATTGATCATTGTTAAAGAAATTTGAATTGTTTCATTTTATAGAATGTCAGTATTCTGTCTTATTAAATCCACCTCTAGCCAAGTTTGACTTTACTCTTTTTCTTAAAGGTCCTTCTTTTATAAGATCATGGACATTTGGGATGTTTAGTGACTCTGAGAGTACTGGAGGGAGCAGCGAATCTAGATCTCTGGATTCAGAATCTATAAGTCCAGGTACATAAACGTTTAAGTCTAGCAGTGAAAATTCAATGAAAGATTAATCCTCTTTCTGAATATTTTTTAACTACCTTATCTTTATAATGAACTAGCTCATACATGGGAGAATGTAAATACATGTACAGCTTCAAAAAAATAATAAAACAAACCCTCATATATTCACCACCCAGCCTAAGAAATACATCATTATCAGTACATTAGAAGCCCCCACTGTATACCTCCTTGATAACATTGCCCTATCTGAATTTTTAAAAGCATTCCCTATTTTTAATGGTTTTAGTAACCTGTATATAGTGGAGTTTTGCCTTCTTGTGAATGATACAAATGGAATCATGTTTTTCTTTTGTGACTTCATTCATACATTTTTTTGAGATCCATATTGATGTAGGTAACCATCTTTATTTTACCTGCTATATAGTATTCTATTATATGAATATAACTATCATCTATGTTTTGGGTTGTTTTGTATTAATAGTTAATTGCTATAATGTGCAATGTTGTTATGTCAATTCTTGTGCCTGTAATTACTTACTCTTGTTAATTTTCTACAAATCTACTTTAAGATACTTTGATATAGACTATCTCTTGGTCCTCAGAGAGCGAGACAGAGTAGGAGTTTCAAATTCTCCCTTAGTGGCTTCAGAGAGGGAAACTTGCCTTAAGGTTATACAGCTAGCAGGAGAAAAAGGTAGCACTTGCTCCCATGAGATTCGCATTTCCAGCATTCTTTCTTCACTCCTCTACCAAAGATTATTCCAGCCCCGTTATTTCTGGGTATGTTCCTTCCTCCTAGAATCTTGAGAGAGATATTATAGGAGTTAACTGCCCTCAAATTCTAAGGCATTTTTCTGTTTAGCATTTTGTATATTACAGAAGTTTTATTCATTTAAATAAATCTCTTGTTTAAAGTTAGGAAAAATTTTCCATGCATGACTGGGGCTTGTAGACTGATTATCAGCTGTCACTTTGCCACCTCCTTTAAAACTAGCACTGTCAGTAGAATATCCTGGAGATGTGAGCCTAAGTACTTACCTGAATATTTGTAATAAGCTCTGTAAAAACAAACTGGTTCTAGCTAGCTCCAGGAATTATGACCCAATCTAGAGCACAACCTAAATTATTTGGGATCCTGTAAGACTTCATGAGAGAAAGGCAAAAATTTGAAAACCAGATCACCTGATAATGGGCAAAGATTTGGGGATGTGTCACCTGGGAAAAAGGACAATTGGGGACATAATGGCTATCTTCAAATGCTGGAAATGAAAAGGAATTAAAGTTAGAGTGCATGTTTGCTCCCTTGGGGAAAAATATGACCAAAGACTGGGATTTATAGGGAGGCAGATTTCTGCTCTATAATATAAGGAATCCATTTTATAATTAGAAAAGTTCTAAAATGAAATGTGTGACTTTGTGATTTCTTTCTTAATTATTGGGAACATATTCAAGCAAAAACTAGATGACCGCCTTTAGGCATACTGTGAAGAGAAATCCATTTTGGAAGAGGATTTTGTTTAAAATCATTTGTGAAAAGCCTTTCTAACTCTGAAGCTAAGACTGTTAAGGCTGTGAGTTAAAGTGAACTGAATTCTTCCACTTAGATATAGGCCTGTTTGTAGTATCATCAGGGAGTAAATAAACCTCACTCCCAGTCTGGCTGCTTCCAGACATGCTTCTATACACATGACAGTGTCCTTTGCGGACATAGCTCAAATTCTGTGGCCTCAACTCCCTGCCAAGGATCACTGGACTGTTGTTCCCAGTTCCTGGTGTCCTGTCTTTACTGGGAACATAAATGGGCTGTTACTGTTGTAGTGTTGTGTTCAAAGATTTTTTGTGAATTTTAGAAGGCTTTAGGTTGTATTGTGAATGCTTATTTATAACTTAATTCAACACTAATGACAACTTTATTCTTATGCCAGCAACTCTGTGAGATATTAGATATAAGACATGAATGCAAAATACTACCTATCCTTGTGGAGCTTACAATCTCTAACACTTACTGTCAGAAATTGGCAGTAAATTCTCATTGGAATATACGATCCTCAGTTTTTAAATTTGTTTGAAATAGTCAGATTTGGTCAAATTCCCTTTTTTTTTTTTTTTTTTTTTTTTTTTTGAGACAGAGTCTCGCTTTGTTGTCCAGGCTAGAGTGAGTGCCGTGACGTCAGCCTAGCTCACAGCAACCTCAAACTCCTGGGCTCAAGCGATCCTTCTGCCTCAGCCTCCCGAGTAGCTGGGACTACAGGCATGTGCCACCATGCCCGGCTAATTTTTTATATATATATCAGTTGGCCAATTAAATTCTTTCTATTTATAGTAGAGACGGGGTCTCGCTCTTGCTCAGGCTGGTTTTGAACTCCTGACCTTGAGCAATCCGCCCGCCTCAGCCTCCCAGAGAGCTAGGATTACAGGCGTGAGCCACTGCGCCCGGCTCAAATTCCCTTTTGTTCATAGGAATAAGTATCAGAATTCCCTGTTACCCAGAGTATGAGAATGGATTTTTACATTGAAGCTAATAAAATAGTATGACTTGTATTATTCCAAAAGTGTTGTCATTACCCATTTCTATAACTGTACAGTGAATGGTCAGATAATTGTATCCACAATTTTCTTTTAGGAGACTTTCATCGAAAACTTCCACGAACTCCATCCAGTGGAACCATGTCCTCTGCAGATGATCTAGATGAAAGAGAGCCACCTTCCCCTTCGGAAGCTGGTATTGCATTCACTTGAATTAAGTCTCACTAAACAAGTTGAATCAGTAGCACTGCATGCTGTTAGAAAAACAATATGATTTTAAAGAATCATTACTTTGCTATGTATTAAACAAAAGGTATCACAATGACTTGAATACATCCCAGGAATTATGTATGAGTTGGAAAAGTATTAATCAAATGTTACAAGTGTAAGAATAAGTAGGACAGGCACCATGGCTCACACCTATAATCTTAGCACTCTGGGAGACCAGGGCGGAAGGATCATTGAAATCAGGAGTTCGAGACAAACCTGAGCAAGAGAGAGACCCTGTGTCTACTAAAAACAGAAAAAAATTTAGCTGAGTGTCCTGGCACATGCCTATAATCCCAGCTACTCAGGAGGCTGAGGCAGAAGGATTGCTTGAGCCTAGGAGTTTGAAGTTGCAGTGAGCTATGGTGAGGTCATTGCACTGTATCCAGGGTGACTGAACGAGAGTCTGTCTCAAAAAAAACAAAAAAGAAAAATCAGCAGGGTGTGGTGGCATACACCTGTAGTCCCAGCTACATGGAGGCTTAGGCAGGAGGGTTGCTTGAACCCAGGAGTGTGAGGTTGCAGTGAGCTCTCATGATGCTACTGTACTCTATCCCAGGCAACAGAGCAAGACCTTTCTCAAAAAAGAATTAGTAGCAAAACTACTAGATCTAGAACGTATTAGTATGGTGCTAAAGTAGGAAGCTAGATATTGTGCTTTTTTTTCATAAAACTAATACAATAATTTAGTGTTAAAAGGCTTGCAATACATGAGAAAGTCTAAAAAAATCTCCTTCAAAAGAAACAATGCAAGAAGCCAAGCAGGAAAGGTAAATAAGTATACCTGCTGTGGACAAGGAAAATTGTGGATGTGGAAGGATATAAAAGTAAAGTCAGTTACCTTGATGACTTGAATTAGATTCATATAAATTAGTTTTGTACATTTGATACCTCCAGATTCCTGTTTTGACATCATTTCTTAAATTAATGGAATATCTGACCTCCAATATGGTATTAGTATTTAACTAGCTAGTATTATCTACAATTTTATAATGAGTTAAGAATAGGTTTATCCTTAATGCAAATAATGCTGACATGCTAACCTCATCTAGCTGTTTTTCTTTTGAAGCGTTTATAGGGGCTTTTTCTAAGAATGTAGTGCCACTTGTAGACACTCTTCCTAGCTCTGTAAAGGGTATATTAGTAACAACGTAAATTTGCTGATTCTAAAAACATGCCATGCTATTTTAGAATTATCTCATTGATTTGGTAGTGATTTTTACTCATAGCTAAAAAGTTTGATAAATGTATATGCCTATTAAGAGATCTATAAATTGGGTACTTATTTCGATGTTACAAATTCAAGCTTTCTGTAATACATGAATAATTGTAAAATGTAAAGCTTATTCAAAATATAGCCTCACATGATACAATTTTTCTGTAATCTCACAATTTTTATATACTAACCTATTTTTGTTACAAGGACCAAATTCTCTTGGAACATTTAAGAAAACATTGATGTCAAAGGCAGCTCTCACTCACAAGTTTCGCAAATTGAGATCCCCCACGAAATGTAGGGATTGTGATGGCATTGTAGTGTTCCAAGGTGTTGAATGTGAAGAGGTAAGACCTTCCTGGAATTGCATTGGCCCCTTTATGCTTACTTATTAGGATCTTATACAAATATATTTTTAATAAATTATACCAATGTACCTTCTATAATTTTATATTTCATTTTGCTGTTAAATGTATTTCAAGCTCAAAAAGGAATATCTTTTAAGCTGATTTTTATTATATTATTCTCTACCTTTAATTTGCCCACATGTGAATAGTTTTAAGGTGAATTAACCAGTTTTAAACTATCATTTTCTTGTAGTGTCTCCTTGTTTGTCACCGAAAATGTTTGGAAAATTTAGTCATCATTTGTGGTCATCAGAAACTACCAGGAAAAATACACTTATTTGGAGCAGATTTCACACAGGTCGCAAAAAAGGAACCAGATGGCATCCCTTTTGTACTTAAAATATGCGCTTCAGAGATCGAAAATAGAGCCTTATGTCTACAGGTACATTGTAACTCTTAAAACTTAAAAGCATAAATGCAGCCAGGCATGGTGGTTCACTCCTGTAATCCTACCACTTTGGGAAGCTGAGGTGGGAGGATCGCTTGAGGCCAGGAGTTTGAGACCAGCCTGAGCAAGAGTGAGACCCCATCTCTACTAAAAACAGAAAAATTAGCTGGGCATGGTGGTGTGCGTGCGCCTGTAGTCCCAGCTACTCAGGAGGCTGACCCAGGAGGATTACTTGAGCCCAGGACTTTGAGGTTTCAGTGAGCTGTGATGGTGACACTATACTCTAGCCCAGGCAACAGAGAAATAAATGCCTGTGTGATTTGTTCTAAGGAAAATGAGGCTTTAAAGGAAAATCGGGTTTTTTTCAGTTTTTAAAAATATAATTTATTCACATTTCTTTAGAAAATATTTTAGTTTTTAGTATTAATATTTTAGTCTTTTAATTTTTATCTAAAATACTTTAAAAAATGGAAACATCTCACCCTGAAGGACTGTTTAAAAAAATGGAAACAGATACATCAAATATATTTAGATATCTGCATTTAGCTATTTGTACTAAAACAGAATTTTGTAACCTTTTTCTACTCAAGGGAATTTATCGTGTGTGTGGAAACAAAATAAAAACCGAAAAACTATGTCAAGCTTTAGAAAATGGAATGCACTTGGTAGACATCGCAGAATTTAGTTCACATGACATCTGTGACGTCTTGAAATTATACCTTCGACAGGTAAAATTTTTACCCTTAAAACCTACCACTAAATAAAAAAGAGGAAAAATATAATTTGTATGTTGCTGATAACATTTGCTATACATATGTTTTCATTGGCACAGACTATATTGATATCTTTCTAATTATTGTATGGGTCAGAGTATATAAATATATATGTACAGTTTAAAGAGCAATAATAATAAAAATAATTTCCTGTCACCCAACTTAGGAAAACCAATTACTATACCTTATAGAAGACTCCCACGTGCCTCTTCCAATTTGCAGCCTACCAATTCCACCTAAGAGGCCTTTCCTAACCATTTTAATAACTCATTCTGTTTTCTTAGTAGTTTTAATAGCTGTTATTCATTCCTAAACAATGTAAGAAGTTGGAAAAGCAATTTAAAAGCATAAATCTAGCTGGGTAAGGAAAGCCCACCCAGTATCCACACTGTTATATGAAGATTCAGGCTGGGTGTTGTGGCTCATGCATGTAATCCTAGCACTCTGGGAGGCCAAGGCAGGCGGATAGTTTGAGCTTAGGAGTTCAAGACCAGCCTGAGCAAGAGCGAGACCCCATCTCTACTAAAAAAATAAAAAGAAATTAGCTGGATAAACTAAAAGCATATATATAAAAAAAACTAGCCAGGCATGGTGGTCCATGCCTATAGTCCCAGCCACTAGGGAGGCTGAGACAATAGGATTGCTTCAGCCCAGGAGTTTGAGGTTGCTGCGAACTAGGCTGATACCACGGCACTCTAGCCGGGGCAACAGAGTAAGACTCTGTCTCAAAAAAAAAAAAGATTCAGTAGAACAGTGTGTGGATCATAATCTGGCTTTGTTTTCACTGATATTTTCAAATAGCTATTGTGCAAGGTCATTGGGAAAGGTCATGAATGTGTCCTGGGAGGATGAAATGCACCATTTTTGGGACATCAGGCAGGGTATCCTATAAGCTCCATACTGCATATACTAGCTGGAATATGGTCAGCAAGTTTTCTTTTTCTGTACTCACTGTTATAGTTTGCAGGAGTAGGTCGAAAGAAAACACATCTGTGGAGTGAAATAAATGGTGTTAGTGGCTTCAGGCCACAGCTTGTGGAGGGGTTACAGGAACTTAATCAGCACATTGTCATGAGCCAAATACAAAAGAGATCTGAGCCAAGTCCAGCTGGCCTTCTTTCCTCAGGTGAAAATGAAGGGATAATGGCAGAAAGAATAGTGATGATAGTACTCAACATGTCAGTCTCTCTGGTTCTCTGGTTCTCTGGCTGCAGTCTGGCTCCATCTTAAAATTAATTGATTTTTTAATTGACATTTAAAAATTATACACATTTATGGAGTACATAGTGATGTTTCAATATTTATCATATAGTAATCAGATCAAGGTAATTAGCATATCCATCATCTCAAACATTTATCATTTCTTTGTGTTGGGAACACTCAATATCCTCCTTTCAGCTATTTGAAACTATTTAGTATATTTTTGTTAACTATAGTCATCCTACAGCAGTGTAGAAATCTAGAACGTATTCCTCCTGTCTAGCTATAATTTTGTACTGGATCTCTTATAATATGGTGAATAGCTGTCACCCTGGGATATCTCTTCTCCATCCTCCCCACTTTTGTCTTCTTCATTTTGGGTGTATTGTCCTATTTTGGTCATGCCCATACTTGAGCAAGGTAAAATAGGAGTAAATATTTGAAACCTTGTTTATCCGTGAATGTCTTTTCTGCTCTCTTAAATGGAAATTTAATAGTTTGAATAGTGTTATAGTATTTTAGGCTACAAGTTAGTTATTTTTCTTCAGAATTTTGAAGGCTTTTTTTTTTCCTTTGAAGTCTGAAATCCTTCTCATTTCATTTCTGACTCTGTGTATGTTGCCTATTTTATCTCACTAAAAACTGGTAGAATCTTCTTTTTTCCCCCAATTATCCTGAAATTTAATGATGATATGCCTTGATATGGGTGTATTTTTATCCACTATTCTGGGCACCCCATGAACTCTGTCAATCTTGTTAGTCCTTTAGTTCTTGGAACTTTTCTTTATTCTGTTGCTTATTTCCTCTCCTCTACTTCTCTCTACTTTCTATCTGGAATTCTTATTTAGACACTTGACAACCTGTACTGGTTCTCTAGTTCCCTTACCTTTCCACTGTTATTTCTTTTGTTTTTGTTTTCTTTCAACACTTACTGAGAGATTTCCTCAGCTTTATTTTTCTCCCCTGCCATGAACTATTTCTTTACTGATATTATGTTTTCATTTCCAAGATTTCTGGTTTTTTGTTCTTTTTTATAACTTTCTTTTTTAATGAATGCAGTATCTTATATACCTGGGGATATTCAGGGTTTTTTTTTCAAAGAGTTATTTTCTCTGCATATCCTCTAGCCCTGTCCAATAGAAATATAATGTGAGCCACATGTATAATACTAATTTCTCCAATAGTTACATAAAAATAAAGTTAATTTTAATATTTTAAAATGATATTTTTGGAACTATCATTTGAACATTTAATCAGTATTTTTAATTTTTGATGAAATATTCCCCCTACTTTTTTTTTGGTACTGAGTCTTTAAAATCTGGTGTGTATCATTCATTTAGAGCTGCAGTCCCTAACCTCTGGGCTGCAGACTGGTACCAGTCCATGGCTTATTAGGAACCAGGCCGCATAGCAGCAGGTGAGCGGCAGGCCAGCAAGCCAAGCTTCACCTGTATTTACAGCCACTCCCCATTGCTCGTATCACCACATAAGCTCAATCTCCTGTCAGATCAGCAGCAGCATTAGATTCTCGTAGGAGTGCGAACCCTAGTGTAAACTGCACATGTGAGGAATCTAGGTTGTGCGCTCCTTATGAGATCTAATGCCTGATGATCTGAGGCAGAGCTGAGGCAGTGATGCTTAGGGCTGCAAGTACAGATTATCATTAGCAGAGAGATTTTACTGCACAATAAATGTAATGTGCTTGAATCATCTCGAAAACATCCCCCATCTTCCTGCTTTCCTCTTCCCACCACCCCCGTTCATGGAAAAATTATCTTCTATGAAACCAGTCCCTGGTGCCAAAAAGGTTGAGGATTACTGATATGAGCACATCTCAACTTGGACCGGTCTCATTTCCAGTGCTTATTAGCTATATGTGTCTCGTGGCCACCATATTGATAGCATAGTTCTAGACCTTTAAGTTGTTTTGATGTTTTTTTCCCCTACCCATTTTGGTTTCTGTCTTCCCTGGTTGTCTGCTTATAATGAAAGATTTGGGAATTGAAATCTCTTTGGAAGCTCTTGAACAAATGAAGGCTTTGAAGACATTGAGCTTTATTCTAGGATGATCTAGGTGGGCTGTTTGGGAAACACCTGGTGTCTGAATCTCTAGGTCCCTACTCTTGGGCTGGTCTGATACTCCTTGCCTAGAGTGTGGTGCCAGTCCTTTGGGAGACCCATAGCATATGAAGGCTACAGAATCTCTGCATTCAGTGTGTGTAGAGTTGCTACATCTCTATTTTCAGGTAGTTCCCCATCTGTCCCTTATGTTTGACGTTGCCCATCCAGAGACCCTGTTTTATACTGAGCAGAGAAAAAAATCTCAGGATTTCTGGGGAAGAGATTGCTTAGGAGGTTGGAGTAGAGACAAGAATCTATATATCTAAGCCTTCTCAAGTAGCTTAGATCTCACCCTCCCACAAGATCACAGAGGATCTAGTGCTGACAGTCCATGAGTTTCCTTGGCATTCTGTAAATCATGTTGGTTTGTAGTTTGGGGTTGTAGCTTTCTCAGAACTGCTACGTCAGCATTTGTTCATCTGTTCTTCAGCTTGTGAAAAGTTGCTTTTGTCTCTTCTCCTATACTCCCAGTCCTTGTGGGCATTTTAGTAGGGTTGCAGGGAGGAAAGAAATTAGGTATAATTGTTGGAGATCTGCCATGGTAGCCCAGGAAACTATTCAACTCTTCAATTGCATTTTACAGGACACTCAACTAAAAAATGGAGACTGAGTACCTTTGAATGACTATAAATCTCATAATGAATCATCATTTATTTTTTCTGGTCAGTCAGAGGAAATGAATGGGGTCCAATACTGTTAGATCTCATTCTGTCTCAGGAATATTATGTGAGCAAGATTTTCATGTGGGAAACCATGCTCAAGGTTTACAACAGTAGTAGAGAGTAGCTTTCATTTTACTAATTTACTATGTGAGAAGCCTGAAGCTCCAAGAGGTTAAGTGACTTCCTTCAGATCCCAGAGTGCTGGAGGTAGAAATTGATCTGAAGGCTGCCTCTCTCTAGAACCAGCAGGGGAAACCAGAGAGAGGGGACCTACCTCACCACAGATAATATAGGACATCACATAGCCAGAGCTACACCTTATTTTCCATTGCAGAGCCAGTAGAAACGTTGAAATTCATTATGGCAGTGGGCAGATAAAAATGGCATACCGTTTGTTAGTTCAAGAGAGAAGCAACTTCTTTTGACCTTCTTATGGCAATTGAAATTATATTTAAAAATTAGATAAATAAAATGTTGACGGTGTTTTTCTTATAGTTCATATTGTCTGATTAAGGTAATCTTCAGTGTTGTCCAAGTAAAACAGAAGGGTTTATTGGTATGGGGGAGACAGAAAGAACAAAATCATTTTGTTCTTTCTGTCTCCCCCATACCAATAAAATTCAGTTTATTAGCTTTTTCTAATACATTTGACTTTGTTCATTATCCTGGGCTTGTTTCAGTAAAATAGTTGAAGATCTTACTAACTTTGGGTCAGTCATGAATGTAATTGGTAGGAGAGATATATATCAGTTTTAAAATTCCACATGCAGGTTTAAGTTTAGGTTAGAATTTTACTGATTATCAGTTACCTCATTTTTAATATAGATAACATTTATGGTGATGATTTAAGGCTCACATTATAGGTCATATCTGTAGCAAACATACATACATTTCTAAATGTGCATTAACTTTAAATCTTATTAATCTGAAGAGATGTAGAAAATCTTTCAATGACTATCAGTAATAGTTGACTATTAACAGAAAAAATAGAATGATATTCCTAATGTAATTTTACTTTTTTAGCTCCCAGAGCCATTTATTTTATTTCGATTGTACAAGGAATTTATAGACCTTGCAAAAGAGATCCAGCATGTAAATGAAGAACAAGAGACAAAAAGGGATAGTCCTGAGGACAAAAAGTGGCCAAATATGTGTATAGAAATGAAACGAATTCTTCTAAAAAGCAAGGACCTTCTAAGACAATTGCCAGCATCAAATTTGAACAGTCTTCATTACCTCATAGTACATCTTAAGCGGTAAGAATTTTATATAAATAGAACATCTATTAATATGTAGATAATTGATTAGTTTTTTGTTTTTATTTTTAATTGTGGCAAAGTACATATAAAATTTACCATCTTATTATTTTTGAGTGTACAGTTGAGTATTGTTAATACATTTACATTGTTTTTTTTTTAATGAACATTTCATTTCTAATGTATAAGAAAAGGGAGACATTGAATATATATGTTCATGCAGCCAGTGTCATGCCCTCAGATGCGTCCTGTATGCCAGGCTCTAGCTGGGGAAACAAGGATGAAAACAGGGTTTCTGCCATCTGTTGGGCTTATCAGATTGGAGGACAGACCTGCAGACCAGTGGAGAACAGCATCATTCTTATTCTAACAGGGCTATGCACAGCATGCCAAGGAAGATGGGGGTAAAGGGGCTAAAACAGAGGAGGTATCCTGTGAGTCAGACATAAAGAACTTAGTAGTAGTTTGATGGACAAAGAATGTGTGCAGGAACAGCATTCCAGACACAGGATTAACAGACACAGACAGGAGACCATTTGTGAAGTATAAGTAAATTGGTAAGCCTACAACATAGCAAGTAGTAGCAGGAACTAAGCTAGGTACAGGCCTGATAAAGAAAGTCTGCATACCTGGCAGATGAGCTGACCATCTGCTCATACTGTTCCCATAGTAAACTACCATGAAGGAAGCCCAATAGGCAATCTCATACAGCTTTATGTGTTCTACTTTGCAGGGTAGTAGATCATGCAGAAGAAAACAAGATGAACTCCAAAAATTTGGGGGTGATATTTGGACCAAGTCTCATTAGGCCAAGGCCCACAACTGCTCCTGTCACCATCTCCTCCCTTGCTGAATATTCAAATCAAGCGCGGTTGGTAGAGTTTCTCATTACTTACTCACAGAAGATCTTCGATGGGTCCCTACAGCCACAAGATGTTGTGTGTAGTACGGGTGGTATTGATCAAGGCTGTCTTCTGAAGTCTCCATTATCACCAGAAGAAAGAGACCCAGAACATTCCATGAAATCATTATTTTTTTCTTCAAAGGAAGTGAGTTTTTACCTTTATGGAATTATATTAGAAGTTTGTGATATTTGTATTAGTAAATTAAAAATCTTTGAACTGTTTAAGGTGTGTTTTGCTTCTTCAAGTTTAAAAATTCTCCTCCATCAACAGGATATCCATACTGCAAGTAGTGAAAGCAAAATTTTTGAACCAGCTACATCATTTGAGGAATCAGAACGCAAGCAAAATGCATTCGAAAAATGTAATGCATGTCTCAGTGGTGAGTGGCCATATAAAAAAATGTTTGTTGACTTAAAATTTTGCCAATAAAGCATAATTAAAAACCAAGGTAAGTGGAGGTGAAGGAAGTTAGAGAACAAAACTTTATTGGTTAATATATCTTGGCTAGCCATTGAGAAAGTTGCCTGTTACTATAACTTGCATTTCTCACCCCACCCCTCAGAGAGGGTCTTGCTCTTTTGCCCAGGTTAGGGTGTAGTGGCACAATCATAGCTCAGTGCAGCCTCAACCTCCTGGGCTTCAAGTGGTCCTCCTGCCTCAGCCTCCTGAGTAGCTAGGACTAAAGGGACACACCACCATGCCTGGCTAATTTTTTAAAGTTTTCTTGTAGAGATGTGGTCTCACTATGTTGCTTGGGCTGGTCTCGAATTCTTGGCCTCAAGCAATCCTCCTGCCTAGACCTCCCAAAGTGCTGGGATTACAGGCATGAGCACCTGTCTACCTTGTATTTAAATGAATGTCATTCCTCATAATAGTCTTCCTTATAAAAGGACTTCTTGTAGTTCATAAATGTTTTTTGTGTTCCTTCTGAAAATGTTCTATTTTATTTTATTTTAATTTTTTGAGACATAGTCTCACTCTGTCACCCAAGCTAGAGTGCAGTAGTATCATCGTTGCTCACTGTAACCTCAACTCCTGGGCTCAAGCTATTATCCTGCCTCAAACTCCCAAGTAGCTGGGACTAGAGGCATGCACCACCACACCTGGCTCATTTTTCTATTTTTTATAGAGACAGGGTCTCACTCTTGTTCAGTCTGGTCTCAAACTCCTGACCCCAAGTAATCCTCCCATCTCGGCCTCCCAGAGTGCTAGGATTACAGGCGAGAGCCACCGAACCCAGCTCACTATCATCTTCTCTTACTATAGTTTAGGGTATTGATGTAACTGCTCATAAAGAATCAAACTAGACTTCTGAAATTCAGAAAATTTAGACTCCTAAATTTTTTTCACATGGTTTTTCCATGTGGCCCTCCTTTAATACATTAAGCACATATATGTATATGTCTTTTTAAAATTTCTTTGATGGCAATCATTCACTGCTTTTCTCTATGTGATAATTTTAGTTGCAATGATTAGTAGCTGTCAAGCTAGTGGAAAACCTTTCATTTGGTATTGTAATTCCACATTGTTACAACTAAATTCCAATTTTTCACTATATAGTGATACATTTTTAACTTGCTGTGTAATCAAATATTAATAAGCATAGCGTAATAGGGTCTAAAAAGAAAGGGAAGTATCATTCATAAAGTACCTGCCTATTTCTTGCAAAGCACTGTGCTTACTGCTTAATTCGATTTATCTGATTGGATCTTTGTAACTGTTCTCTGCTTTAAAGTATATATTGGCATGAGCCTCATTCAACCCATAGCTAACAATCAGAGAGGGATTAAGTAATGCCAAAAGTGATACCCTCAATAAATTGTTCAGTCAGGATTTGAATCCAGTCAGAGTCCTATCTCTGTGCTTATTTCACTAACCCATAAGCTGGGGCTCCCAATTAGGGATAGTAATACAAATAAACGGCATTTTCCAGTGCTTATCGTATACAAGGTAATTCTACACACATTTCCAATTGGATCATTTAGACCACACAACAACACAGACACCCCTATGAGTCCTTTCTGACAGAGGAAGACACGTAGGGCAGTGGGGTCGCCCTGCCCAGTGCAGAAGTGGTGGGTAGAGCTGAGGGAGGAGGGCCCAGGCAGCTGGGCTTCAGAGTCTGCACTCTTCTCCTCTGGGCTATAAAGTTTCCCCTCACAACTTTAAGAATATACTTATAGTCCAACTGCAAAGAGTCAGCTCCCTGAGAATGGTCTATAAATGTAGGGAAGGATGCGGGAAAGCAGATCAAGAGGGTGTTTCCTTGGAGCCCAGGAAAGCGCAGTCCCAGGTGAGGAGGGAGGTCGGAGGAGAGGACCACTGAAAAGTGATTCTGACGGGCACCTGTCTGCAGAACACTGCCCCAGAGATGTGGGAGAGGGGCCAGGTGGCCGGAAGAGGATTGCGTGCTGTGCTAGGGGCCAGCTGCGGCTGGGAGTCGGGATGTTGTCAGGACACACAGTTGATGTTTTTCCTCAGTGAAGAGGAAGGAGGGTGAGCAGAGGGCTGGAACTAGCCAGGAAGTGGAGTTTTTGGGATGGATGCAGCAACCAGGGACAGGGTTTGAGGAGCTGAGGGTTCTAGGTGAGAAAACAAGGAGCACGGTCCAGACTAGAGAAGAAAGTAAATCTGGGAGCAAATGAGGAGCAGGGTGTCCTTTTTACTTAACATAAAACTATTCAACCTTGATTTGACAGGGTGGATGTTGTACTTCATTAGTTGATCAGCTGTGGAGAGTACCTAAGGCATCTGATCTGCTGATAGGTTGTCAGTGTGGGCGAGTGTAGCGGAAAAGCAGATTGAGTTGGCAAAACCCTTGGGCTGCAGGGCAGGCTTGCATGTGGTTGGTGTGTAAATTGGTGTAACTTTTCTGAAGTTAATTTACTAATGTCTGCCTGTTGAAATTGTGACAGTCTTTTGACCTAGAAAGTACTTGTTCATGTACAGCACAGAGAAAAAAGTTACTTCAGCAAATATTTGTTTTGTTTTGTTTTGTTTTTACTAACCTGTGGTATATTTTTTAGCTGTTCATTATATTTATTTAAATAAATCTTTCTCTTTCAGACACCAAACTGTATTTGCTTCTAGACCAAGAGCTTGAATCAGCATCCCAAAAGATAGAAGATGTTTGTAAAACCCCTAAGCCATTTACTTTGAAATCTGACAGGGCAACAAACATGGTGGAGAGGCATACTCCAAGGACTAAGATTAGACCTGTAAGTTTGCCTGTAGACAGACTACTTCTTGCAAGCCCTCCTTATGAGAGAAATGGCAGAAATATGGGAAATGTGAATTTAGACAAGTTTTGCAAGAATCCTTCCTTTGAAGGAGTTAATAGAAAAGACACTCCTACCACTGTTTGTTCCAAATTTAATGGCTTTGAACAGCAGATTCTACAAAACTCTCAGGACAAACAGCATGAACAAAGTAACATAACTGCCAAGGCTACAGTGATTGTACCCAGTGCACTGCAAGAAAAAGGAGTGGTGACAAGCATCAGAATCAGTGGGGACCATTCCAGTAGTGCCTGCCAGCCCAGTAAGCCATCCATAGAGCTGGGCAGGTCAGCAGGAGAGGCATCTGAGAGACGGTCCTCCGACTCCTACCCTCTCGCTCCCCTCAGAGCACCGAGAACACTGCAGCCCCAACACTGGACAACATTTTATAAACCACATACTCCTCCTGCCAGCAGTGTTAGGGGTAATGAAGAGAAACCAGCTTCACCCTTGGCAGCAGTGCCACCTGGCACAGCTCACGATCCCCAGGGTCATGTGGTGAAATCAGTGCCAGACCAGGACAAAGCACCAGCTTGTCCTGGTCAGCTGATCAGTCAGCCTAAAGAGAACTCTGAGGAGCATGGCTTGCCTGACGTGAATCCAGCGTGTCAGAGACCAAGGCTAAAACGAATGCAACAGTTTGAAGACCTTGAAGATGAAATCCCACAATTTGTGTAGGGTTGTCAAAATTCAGGCTTTCTTTTTTTGTTGGTGTTTGTTTTTTTGTTTTGTGTGTGTGTGTGGCATTGTTTGTTTTGTGAAAGAATGTTTTGATGGGGCCCCTTTTGTATAAGATTGCCAAATTGTGGATTTTACTTTTTGTCACATTGAATTATTCTCTGTTGGTCATACTGAAAGGTAGAATGTTGATAGGGCCACATTTGTGCCTCACTAGAATTTTTTTTTTTTTTTTTTTTTTTTTGAGACAGAGTCTCACTCTGTCGCCCTGGGTAGAGTGCATTGGCATCAGCCTAGCACTACAACCTCAAACTCCTGGGTTCAAGCAATCTTCCTGCCTCAGCCTCCTGAGTAGCTGGGACTACAGGCACTCGCCACTGAACCCAGCTAATTTTTCTATTCTTAATAGAGACAGGGTCTCACTCCTGCTTAAGCTGGAGGAATTATCTTTAAATTCTGTATTTTTGAAATTGTGAATAAAATAGGTGGATTCATATTTTTTAAAATTCAGTTGACTTTCTCTGTAAAATGGTCCATTTAAATGCATCCCTAATATATAATATAGTTCTCAACTAATAGGTGCAGTTGGGGAAAATCAGCTTTATTTTTTGGAGTGAAACTCAGTGCTTATTTATAAAAGGAATGTTTCTGAATGCCGGTGCCTGAAAGATTTTTGTTTGGTATGAATATGTTTTTTTCACATGCTTTTATAGTGCATCTTTGATCATTTGTGCTTTTATAGTATGTATGTGAGTTTTCATTTTTCAGTTGGTAATTCACTTAACTTTTAAAGATTTACAGAATGACCAGAAAGCTTGCGAATCTGTATTTAATTGCATTTTAATTCATTGTCAGTTTTTACATGTGATAGTCAGTTAATTATACAAAGAAAATGCACTTAAACCTGTTTCTAAATTATATAGATCAGTTACATCTTGTTTGGTGTTAGATGGTTTTAATACATCTAAGTAGTTTTTCACCCCTTGGCTTTATTCTACATAAACTTTTTCAGCAGTTCTGAACTTTTTGGTATTTTATAAATGGTCCCCAAAAATGCCTGTTTCAGAAGTTTTTAAATTCATTGCATTTCCTCTTGATATGATATGTTAAAAATCATTCCTTTTGTATGAAATGTTTTGTCTTATGGATCATTTTATGTACTTATTCTGCCTGGACTGTCAACCATTGAAAATGTATATTCCATCCAAATCAAGCAAAGATTTATTTAAGTTGATTCTGAGAGTACAGGTCAGTAAGCCTCATTGTTTGGAATTTGAGAGAAGGTATAGATGATTGGATCTGTTTCATTTATAAAATTCCCAGTTTTTAGAACTAGTACATTTCTGTTATTTTCTGGGTTTCATTATTTTTCCTAAAATAGGATATAAAAGGGACAAAAAATAGCCTCTTTTTGTATGTGTGAATTATATTTCTACTAAATTTTTTTGTATGACCATGTTATACTTGATAAAATATATATATATTAACTTGTTAAATTATTTCAAGTTCTTGTGCCTTCTCTGAAATTGTTGCCTCTTAAGGTATAAGACTTTAAGGTTATAACCACTGGCTTAGTGGCCACTCATACATGCCTTGACTACAAGATGGAATGCATTTTATGGGAAGTGGTTCTATAGTTCTATGTGATAATCAGCACTTTTGTGCTGAAGCCTTGTTTTTAACACTTTGCCACACTAGGAAAAAAAAACTTTTTTTCCTTGAAGTCGTGGTGTTTTATTACAAGAACAGAACAAAAACTTTGAAAACAAAATGATCCTTTCTAATTTAATGAAAAAATTGTTATTTTTTGTTTTCTGTGTGTGAGTTATATGCAACTTGAAAAATAGTTCACACAGCTCCCAAAGTAGAGATGTGTGAGTTACATATGCTTCATGAGGACCTAGTCTCAAAAATAGCTTGAATTAAATACAGTTCCCATGGCAGTTAATATGTTAATCCCCATTGTACAAAATCTAAAAGAATCATATTGCTATGAAAACCTAAAAAAGAAATTAGAGCCAACATTTATTGAGTCTTCACTGTGTGCCAGGAACTTTGTTAAGCTCCTATATACATTTTTCAAGTTCACAGCAACCTATAATGGGTAGGTGAGCATTTTATTATTTCTGTGTTACAGATAAGGAAACTAAAGCTTAGTTAAATGATGTGCTTCTAAATTCTACACGTGCAACAGCTGGAGTCAAATCTCAAACACAGAGCTGTCAAATTTTGATGTTTAGTACTTTTAATGACTATGTGATTACTAAATAATATCAAGTATTTTTAGCAATAGAAAATGTCCCTTTAAAATTTTTATTTAAAATTTTATACATAAAATGTACCATTTCAACCATTTTTAAGTATGTAGTTCAGTGGCATTAATTATATTCACATTGTTTGCAACCGTGATCAACTATCCATCTCCAGAACTTTTTCATCATCCCATACTAAAACTCAGAAAATGTGATTTTAAACTTCTTCCTTTTTCTTTTAATATGTGGAGACAACCTAGTCAAAGAATATATCATGTAATAAACTGGCTTCTCTGTTTCCCCTCACTTAAATCTCGCAAGTGAGAGTAAGGCTTTTGAGTCCTTTCTGCTTTTAGGGCTCCCTGGCATTTCGTCCAGCTTAGAGCCAGCAGCCTAGAGATGCTTTCTATTTCCTGGGCCCATTCGGCAAGTATCTCCTAAGAAGAGGTTGCTGTCTCTAGAGTGCCTGCTGGATGCACTGTATACTGCTTCTCAGTAGTGCGGTGGAAATCATTCATCAGGAAGTTGTTTCATGACAGATGGAAAGAGGTGTGAGCACAAGGAAAGGGCAGTAGTGAGGAGTCTTTTTAGAGCTGCCAGACCACCAGAAAGCTTGGTGGAAAGCATATTGTTCAAGTTTCTGAGAAGCGCTTTGTGAAGGATTGATTGTAACATCCCTAGATAGGCATGAACTAAGAACTAAGACATACTAAGAACTTAATTAGAATTTACAAGTACAGCATTTTAAATTACTTTTAGTGTACTTTAGGCAGTGTATTTCTTTTGACACAGAAATGAAGATATTATCATCCCTGTGAGGTACTTTTTGCTTAGTGATCTCACAAGCAAATAGAACTGCACCTCACATCCTTGGGTGATTTAAAGATGGTACTATGGCTACACTATTCCCAGCTGTCAATGTGCTACTTACAATATTTGCACAACTATAAACATCTCTTTAAGTGACAACCATTGTGTATTTTTAAATAAGTTACAGTCAATGTACTCTGGGTTTTTCTTTCCTAAAGGCAGGAAATTATTTTGATGTGTTGATATATGTGTTGATGTGTTTATATATGTGGACAGGTCTGTTAATATCTAGAGCTTAACAGAGTTGCTACTTTCACAATCAGTATGCAAAATGTCAGTTGTATTCCTGGATATCGGCAACTAACAGAAATGAAAGTTTTTAGAAAAACATATCTTAAAAAATAACATAAAGAAATAAAAATACTGTTCCTAAGAATAAATCTAACAAAAATACATCTTCATGGAGAATGTTTTAGACCATATCAAGGGACATTTAAGGAGATCTTAAATACATGGAGTACTCTAATGTCAATGCTAATCTCCTGAGTTTGATGGATGTCCTGTGGTTATGTGGGAGTGTTCTTTTAGGAAATACACACTAAAGTAATTAGAGGTAAGGGAGTATCATCTGCAATTTCAGATGGTTTGAAAACTATTTTGGCTGGGATTACATTGAATCTATAAATAAATGGAGGTATATAACCATAGTACAGCCATCAAACTCAGGAGATTTACCTTGCCATAATGACATCTAATCCACAGACCACAATGAGTTTTCTGATTGCCCCAATAATGTTCTTCTCTGGTCCAGCATCCCAATCCAGGATCACATGGTGCATTTAGTTGTCCTGTCTCTTATTTCCTTCAATCCAGAACAACTTTTCAGTCTTTTCTTTCATGACCTTGACATTTTTGAGGAATATACACCAGTTTGTAGAATGTGTCTTAGTTTGGGTTTATGCAGTGTTTCCCATGGTTAAGATTCAGTATATACATTTTTGTCAGCAATACCACAGAAATGATGCCATATTCTCAGTATGTCATACGAAGTGGCACACAAATCAACTTGTCCTATTCCTGGTGATTGTTAACTTTGATCACTTGGTTAGGATAGTATCCACCAGGTTTCTTTATTATAAAGTTAATAATTAAAAAGTACTTTGTGAAGAGTTTCTTAGAGACTGTAAATGTAGTGTTTCTCGTCAAGTTGTTACCAGCTAGTTTTGAGTCCATTGGGAATTCTCACCTGAATAATTATTACTATTTTGGTTGCCAAATGGTGAGTCCATGGCTTCTGCATTGGTTGGTATCCTGTAAGGAAGAGATATCTTTTCCATTTCTTCATTTATATCAATATGGACTCATGGAGTCCTGCTTTATTCGGTAGGCTATAATATATTAGTGTCATTTATTTTCATGCTGCCATTTTCCCAGATTTGGTTTGCAAAGTCTCTTCAAGCTGGCTTCTGGCTCCCTTTGATTTTTTTTTTTTTTTTTTAGACGGAGTCTCACTCTGTCGCCTAGGCTACACTGCTGTGGTGTCAGCCTAGCTCATGGCAACCTCAAACTCCTGGGCTCAAGAGATTCTCCTGCCTCTGCATCCTGAGTAGCCAGGACTACAGGCGTACACCACTACGCCTGGCCAATTTTTCTATTTTTAGTAGAGATGGGATTTCACTTTTGCTAAGGCTGGTCTCAAATTCTTGAGCTCAAATAATCCTCCCAGCTCGGCCTCTCCAGAGTGCTAGGATTACAGACGTGAGTCACCATGCCCAGCCCCGGGTCCCTTTTATATGTCCTCATTACTTTTGGGGTTCTTCCTTACTTTTTAGCACATTAGGTATTACAAACTCATCTTGTACTTTTTCCTACCCCCTACCTTAGGTCTAGAGTTAGCCATTTTTCCAGGGAGCCCTGGTTCATTTAAATGGGAATGATCTATGGAAACCAAAACCTGAGAAGGACTC